TAACTAGGATCATACTTGGTTTGTATGAACTATGTTTGTTCTCTACTTCCAAACTCAACGTCTCTTCATCCGTGCCTAAAATAAGAAGTTGTGAGATTCTTTTTTTAAAGTGACCTGTCTGGAAATGTGGCAATAAGAATAATCTCCTTGAGGCCAAAAAGAGCCCAACAGATTTTGCTTTCACAAGTGGAGCAGTACGGCTATCGCCATAGTGTTCTGCTTGTTTTATGCATATAAATAACTTTATTATAAATCATGCAGGGAGTTTTACAGATTATATGGACACTGCAATGGAGGTAGAACGGGAAAGGAAAAAACAGTAAAGGTGAAAGAAAGGGGAGATAATGATAAAACATCTTCAGTCTGCTTCATCACCTGAAAAGAGATGGAAAAAGAACAGCACAACCAACGGACATGCTACGAGACATACAATAAAGTAACATCTTGATACTATCGCTGAAGTATAAGTAGTATTATTTAATCTGACGTGTACTCTGTGGGAGCTGAAGATCAGAATATGGGCTTTCTGTATGGAAGTGAATCTCCAAGCCCCTGTAGCTGATTGTCAGAGTGAACTTGTGGATGTAAAGTTTATCCAAAAGGAAAAATGCTCAATAGTTGGTTGTGAAGAGCCGAAGACACGCCCCCCCCAGAGCGCCGGGGACCCAAAGCCCCAGATGCCCAGAGAGCAAAGGTGTCCAGAAGGGGCCAACCCAGGAAAATCCGACCCCCACCAAGGGAAGAGGAGAGACGGCCCCCAAGAAAACCCCATCCACCGCAAAGCCGACGCCTCCAGGAACCGCGGGGACGAGCCCGCAGGCAGCCAGTCCCCCCGTAGTGGAACCGCAATCGGCCCCGGGGGTTTTGGAGTTGTGAGATTCGCTCTCGAAAGTTTTGACTGGATTTGAACTTTTAAGCCTTTCGGTATAAAATAAATATTTAGATGGAGAAACCTGCTTCCTGGTCTGTTGAAGCACCAATACTTTGCATCCAATCATTTAATTAAACTGCCTTTTTGGGGAATATATAAGAATTATGCTCTAATTTGAAGTTACCAATCCGTCGTTATTATATTTTAATTTGACAAACTGGATCTTCTCGTCGTTCTTTTTCCTATTTGGTGCGATCGTGGATCTAGACCCGGCTGGACCGGTGCGAAAATTAGCTCAGCTCCGTATTTTGACGACGAAGGACGGAGACGTGGTACGTGGACGATGATGTGCGGAGGATGTGGAACAGCTCTCATTGGTTAACATGACTAACAAGAACCGTAATTTTCGGACTATAAGCCGCGACTTTTTCCCCATTTTTCGACCTTGCGGCTTTTATAGCAATCAGAATCAGAAATACTTTAATAATCCCAGAGGGAAATTACTTTTGTTACACGCTCTAGTTACAGTTTTACATGATATATACACACATTCAACTATACAATATAATAAGATAAAAAATAAGAATAAAAAGAGATGAAATATATATACACATATAGCTCTTCTGTACATATATCTGTATGCGGCTTATCTATGGACTTTTACAGCTAACGGCCACTAGCGTAATACCTAAATCTATGGATTTTACCGTCCACCATGTTGACATTTGCTTCAACACACAAGTACGGTAGCCGCGTGCGGTGGAATACGGAGGTCCTCCGGAAGCAGACTTCTACCGCGAGTGGTACGAGACAGAACGACAGCCAGAAAGACGGACATTAAACATAAAAACCCTGCGGTTTATAGTCCGCTGCGGCTTGTATACGTACAAATCATGCAATTTAGCTTCTGCGGCTTATATTCAGGTGCAGCTAATAGTCCAAAAATTACCGTAATCCGCATGACATGCGTGAGCGGAGACGGAGGATGTGGAATCTGGGGGTTAGGAGGGAT